GAACTGAACGCCGTGCTCCCAACCGAGACCTTCCTCCATTAAGTACCGCATCCAGCCAATGACGGCACTTTTTCCGGTGCCCGGAAATCCGTGCACTACGTCCAGCAGAGGCCCCTCGGAATTCTGGTTCACGCTGCCCTGCTGCTTCTCCAGCCACTCAATCTTCAAACGTCGAACAAAGTGTTCGAGAAACTGGCGCTGTTTCTCGTTCGGGATCTTCGAGCTGGCCAATATGGAAGCAAACGCTTTGTCGACGCTGGTGAAGCCATTCCCTGCAGGGTTGAGCGAAGCAGCAGCATATCGCTTCTCGTCGAAGGGAGCATCGTGTGCCTTCTGGCTCGTGCCACTTGCGGATACGAAGCTGCGAGGTGGTCCTGGTGCGCTTCCTCGAAGATATGTCCCGGACACGCACGGTCTCCAGCCTCGACGCCAGAGGGTTCCGTCTTCCACGCTCGCTTTCCGATGCGGTGGCTTTGTTCATGCTCGTGCACTCGGGCACTTTTCTTCGCTCGGCTGTTCTCCGAAGGTTTCACCTTCGCTTTCGCCGAGGCGGTCCACTTCTCGCCGAGGCTGTCCTCTTCTTTAGCCGATTGGAGCAGTTGTTGAAACTTTCCACCAGGGAGGCTCAGCGGAGGCATATCTTGCTCTTCCTCCGACGCATATGCCTCGCTCTGATCATCTGCCGCCTTGCCAAACGACGCCATCGTATTCAGCAGGAAACTCTGGATGAGTTTCGTCGCTGCCTGGCTGACCGCGTTCCCGCGCACGTACTCGTCCCAAGCGGTCTTCCAGGATGCGCTGTCCAACGTCGACGGCGTCCCTGCTGAGGCTGTCTTCTTGGTCAGCCTACACGAAGCTCGAACTTGGGGCGACTGGTGCTGGGCCTCCTGCCAATGCCGCAGTACCGTTAACTCCATCCCCAACATACTCAGGTGAGGCACAGTCACGTCTCCTCTATAGAGCGTCCAGGGGCGGAAAAATAAACTGCAATACTGAGCGTTGTACGTAGAACTTTTGTGTACGCTGGGCATGGGCAAGCCTTCGATGACCACCACGTCCGGCCTCGCTTTCCTGACCAGAACGCATGAGTGGCAGAAGACACCTGCGTCCTGCGGAAACACGAAATACTCGTCGGCCTCGGGTGTCACTGCTATGTAATGCTCTCCAGGCTTGGCGGCGACGTCCCCATCTTTGTACTGCTTGCTCCTGATTAATTGTTGACCTCCTTTCGGGGAGACGTGAGACCCGGGCGCGGGGGGCTCGGAAATCCCCCACGAGGTCGCCAAACAAATCACGAGGCCGAGCCTGCATTTTGACGAGGCCTCCCGCTGCAGACATCCCGCAAAACTCCCCCTCGTCAAAATCTGAATCGCGGTCGTCAAAAAACGATGCCGAGCCCGAGTCCTGGCAAACCCGGGTCTTGCGCCCCCCCGAACCTTTTGTCCACGCAGTTCGTGCTGGCTGGTTGCGGTTCAAGTAGTGCGTCGGAACCAGCAGTGGTTCGCACCTCCACCGCCGCAAGAACTCGCACGCGGACAACAACTTCCAAGGGTGCTCCAAGGGGCGATATGCGTAGGCGTCGAAGTCGTTTACTCTCGACCGGTCCGTCCGCATGTTCGGTTTGCGAGCCGGCGGGACGTGCGTCGTCGCGCTGGTGTCCTTCATTTGCGACGAATTCTGGGACGTCTCCAACCTGTTCATCCACGACCGCCCATCGATCGCCTGCGAGCCAAACGTTCGGATGCACTCTGCCTTCAGAACGTCCCTCAGGTCCAGATTGCAGCGCGGGTTGCAGACTTCCACGGCGCCGCGGTACGTGCTGTTCATCTCGAGTTCCGTTATCAGCCTCCCGCTGCTTGCTCTGAGCTGCGCCGCTGTGCCCCTGCCCTGTATCTTCGCCCTCAAGGTAAACAGCTTGTCCACGCATTTCTTGGTCTCCAACGTGCCCGCGGGCTGTCGCTTGCCAATGTATCCCCCGAAATATCCATTCGTCACCACCTGCGTGCGCTGAGTTGCTCGAGTGGCTCTCCCCAGACTCTGCTTCTTCATGATGCATCGTCTCTTCCTGCAGCAAGTCTCATGCGTTTGCTCGACGATCGGCAGTCGGTCATTTGGTTTCACGCCGCTGTTGCTCCCTGCAAAAAAAAGCGACGCACAGGCCCGGCACGCACCCGTTCAGCCACTCCTCATTGCGCAATCCGAGAGTTCGCCCCGGCCAGTTTCGGACCCCGCTCGTGCGCAGCGTGAACTTCTTGGCAATGCCCTTGCAAACCAGCAGCGGCGCCGTCACCCACTCGGGGGGCACCCTGTTGGTCCACGGCGCCTCGTGCTTGCACTCTCTCTTGTTCTTCTTGGAAGCGCAGGCGTTGGGCGCCAAACGCTTCTCCTGCTTGGTCTTCGAATCCATCTTCAGTCGATGTATGTGGTGCTGGCGCCGACACATGAAATACTGCATAGCGCCCTTGAACTTCTCCTTGAAGGTGGCGTCGTCGCAGTTCAGGCCGAGCTCCTGAGCTTCCCCTGGAGCCCCCTGCGCGGACGAGCCCACTCCGGCTCTCGCGTCATCATGCAAGAACCGAGGCAATCGGCCCAATTTGAACTCCCCCCATGCTGGCGATCCAGAGCATTCGGACGACTCCGAGTATGTCGGGAAGTTCTGCTCCAGCGAAGTTCTCTCTCTAGCAAATTGGTCCACGTCGGGACATCTCTCGCAGCAGATTTGCCCGAGGACGCATTCACGAGACCTTCCTCGATTTTCTGGGCGATATCCTTCAGCGTGGCGAACTGGTGCAGGCGCTGAGCGAACATAAAAAAATGATAATGCAGCCCCCTCTGTCGTTTTCTGAGCCTCCACGGCGCCGAACAAAGCGTCCACGCGCCCTGCAATGCCTCCCATGGCTTCAGCGTTGCTGCCGAGGGCGTCCTGGCACGGCGATCCAGATTCAGAGCACTGCGGACAGCGAGGGCGCATGCGCACTCCGAGCATCGTCGCCGGAACCGTGCGGATCTGCACGAAGAATGCGTTGGAGGCGGCCAAGGGGTCCTCTGCGAGGAACAAGCGACGCGTGTCATATCCAGGAATGTTCACCTCAAACGCGTCCTCTGGCGACGGCTCCAGGCTCGGCGAATCGCTCTTTGCCCACTTCTGCCTTCTGCTCTCGCCTGCAACGAAAGGATCGTCCTGGCGGTATCTGCTGAGCCTGAGCGCTAGATAATTATGCCGCTCTCCAGGGGAAATAATACAGAATATGTCATTCCCGTAATTGACGTCAGCCCATATCCCCAAGTGCCCAATCTTCGCCCGAATCTCCTGCGTGCCCGGAATGGCGCGGCATCGAAAGCGGAAGTCAGCCAAGAGTCGCCGCTGCAGGTTGCCGAGACCGACTGCAAAAATCCGCCGACCCCTTGTGGGTCTCTAGGCGTGTGAGATAGTTCCCCCTTCCGAACCCCTCCCTGGGACCCCAAACCGGAGATTCGACCCCCCCCCCTGGGCCCACGACGAGCGCGTCGCGGGGCTCCTCTGGGCCCAAAAGGGGATCAAGACGGGCCAAGAAGGCCCCAAGACTCCTCCAAGACGGCTCGCGAGAGCTCCGAGGCGCCAGACGAGCGCTCCCAGACGCCCAAGATGGCCCCAGGACGAGCTTAGAGGCCCCCAAGGCGGCCCAAGAGGTCCCCAAGAGCAGTCCTCAGAAGAACCGCGGCGCCGAAAATCGTCAAATTCCTGTGGGACAACGTACACTTAGATCGTGCACTACTTGTCCGCCTTCGCGGCGTTGAAGACGGTCCCAGAGCGCCCCAGTGCCGCCCCAAGAGGCTCCCAAGAGGCGCCCAAGTCGGCCAAAGAGGGCGCCAAGACGGCCCAAGAGGCCCCCAAGCCAGCCCAAGAGGGCCCCAAGACGGCCCCAAAAGGCGCCCAAGAGGGTGAGCCCGAACCGACAATCCGAGCCTTCCGCCCCAAAACGGCCCCGGAAAGGCCCCAAGAGGCCCGAAGAGGCCCCCGGGACGCCCACAAGAGGCCCCGCGAGGCCCCCAAAAGGCACCAAAACAACCTCGAAACGGCCCCCACCAAGAAATATACGGGCCCCAAGAAATATTGGGCATCTCCAGAACGATGCCAAGATTGCATTAGCGTCCTTTCTTTCCCGATGGGCCCCCCGGGGCGTCGAGGTGACCCCGAACGGATTCCACGTAGCCCCAAAAAAGGTCATTATGAGCCCCGTGCACGACTCCCCAGCCCGATTCAAGCGAGCCAGCAACCGCCAATATGAGGGGTCGGCGGATGTGGCGTAAGCCTATAGAATGAGCTCACTGGCATCATTGTTGATATTGCGGCGTCTGCCTTCGGGTAACGTGTAGTAACCCTTTTCGAGCTTCTGCAGTAAATCCGCAGCGGCTACGGCAACGTCGGTCTCCGTGCTCTCGGCGCTTTGGCCTTGCAACCGTTCCCCTCGCTTGATGCCCAGGCTCGCTCCGAGATCGACGCTCTCGAACATATAGGTTCCACAAGGCTGGCGCGAAGCCCCAAGTGCGTCGGAACTGGCCCTCTATCCGCTGCGGCAAACCGCGCGTGAGGTCAAACAACCTCACCGTGGTCGCTGGCCCAATCGCAAAATGAGCGCGCGGTAGTTTCCGCTGGGCTACGCCCGCTGACGGGTCGAGCCAACTGCGCAGAAGCCCGCGAGGAGTTGGGAGATCTCTCGTCTCTGGTCGACGCCAACGAGGTTGGTTCGGGTCGTCGTGTCCGCCAACAGCACGCGGCAGCGTGAAAGGAAACGCCATGCCCAGGTACCAGGCGGCATGCTGGTTGGTCAGGTCCGTCCCGCTCTGGATGTTGACATCGCCGAACCTTGCAAACACGGACTTGTAATTCTCAGATATGTTCGACTGGGCTCTGGTGCTCCGCTCAGCGACGATATAGGACGGGCTCAACGAAGATACGAAATCCTGTACCGGTTTTGCCGGCTCTGGAGGCGCCGCCACTTTGTCTTGAACGATGGAGCCTTTGGCCCCGTCTAGCTGTTGTACCGCATCCTGCACTGCCTGCGGGATGAACTTCGCCTCCCCGTATTTATATGCGTATTTCTGAGAGTACTTTTCGTGGAGGCGGGTTGCCACTTTGTCGAATGAGTTCAGGCCGTTGTTGCCATAACCTGGATAGCCGCTGCCGCGCATGATCTCGATCAACTTTTGCATTACAGGAATGCGTAACGTGAGCCCTTTCAGGTGCTGCGCCAGGTCTTTGCTGCCCCCCTTGATGCGCACGTTCACCAGCATCGCCAACGTCTCCTCCGAATGTGGCACACCGAGAGCATCCTGCAGCAACCTCAGCCGGTCCCCGTGGATCTCTTCGGCGTGCTGAGACGCTTCGCGACAACATCTCTCGATGTCGTCCCACGGCATGGAAAAGCTGAAGAGATTGCCCTTCTCAAGGCCCCGTAGACCCGGACACGCTGGACCCGGACGCCCAACGCCCCTCGAAACCAGATTTTCCAGACGGCGGCACGAACGAAATACTGCACTGCTGCATTTCGAGAATAAACCCGACCACAGGCCTCAAAAGCCTGCAAGACCCCTCTAAACCCAGACACAAACCCGAGTCCTGCAGTGCAGCAGACACGACTTGCACGGGTGCTGGAAAAACGTTTTGAGGGGGCCGCGTTCCTCGTCCTTCTTAGCGAAACCAGTGATTTTACGAAGGTTTCGGGCTGATTTTGTCCTTCTCAGGGGTCAGCGCTTGCTAGCGCTTCTGAAGAGATCGCCAGAGACCCCAAGATAGCCCCAAGAGGCTCCCAGGAGGCTCCCAAGAGGCCTCCAGGAGACCCCCAAAAGGCCCCCCAGAGGCCCCTAGAGGTCCCCTCGAGGCTCCCAAGAGGCCCCCAAGAGGCCCCAAGAGGCTCCAAGAGGCCCCCAAGACGCCCCCAAGAGGCCCCCAAGAGGCCCCCCAGACGCCCCAAGAGCTCCAAGAGGCCCCCAACACGCCCAACGAGGAGCCCGAACGACTCGCACCAAAACGAAAGACCCCAACGACTCACACCGCGAGGAGCCCGAACGAGTCACACCACAAGGAAGGGCCCGAACGCCTCACACCAAGACGAGGCGCCCGAACGACTCACACCACGAGGACCCCGAACGACTCACACCAGGACGAGGGGCCCGAACGACTCCCACCACGAGGAACTCGAACGACTCACACACAAGGAGGGGCCCGAACGACGCACACCAGGGCGAGGGGCCCGAACGACTCACACCACAAGGAGCCCCAACGACTCACATACAATGCGGGGCCCGAACCACTCACCCCAGGACGAGGGGCCCCAACGACTCACACCACGAGGAGCCCGAACAACTTACACACAAGGAGGGGCCCGAGCGACGCACACCAGGACGAGCGGTCCGAACGACTCACACCACGAGGGGCCCGAACGACTCACACGCAAGGGGGCGCCCGAAGGACTCACGCCAGGACGAGGGGCCCGAACGACTCACACCATGAGGAGCCCGAAGGACTCACACACAAGGAGGGGCCCGAACGACGCGCACCACGAGGAGCCCCAACGACTCACATACAATGCGGGGCCCGAACCACTCACCCCAGGACGAGGGGCCCAAACGACTCACACCACGGGAAGCCCGAACAACTTGCACACAAGGAGGGGCCCGATCGACGCACGCCAGGACGAGCGGTCCGAACGACTCACACAGTCGAAAACGCACTGGTAAGCCAAGATATATGTTCCGCCTTAGGCGCTCCCATATCCCAGGCTTTGGCTCATACCGCATGAGCAAGAGAGCAAAATGAAGCATGGGATCTGGAGTAAAGGATAGAAGGGGCATCTTCAATAGAAAGGTCTTTTCCGATCTCAGATGCGAGTAGTGCGCCTCGGTGAGGCACAATCACATGTTCGGCCGGGCCCGGCTTGAGCCAGGCACGGCAGCGGTGCATGCTCGATTTACATCTCGCCTTTAACCCTCTCCGTTTAAAGTTGGAGGGGGAGGAGACGAGCAAGCACCGAATTTCTACATTACGCGGAAAAAACAGTGCTAGGCAACGGCGGCTGCCTACAAGGCAAGGGCGCGCGAGTAGCCTCGCTACCGGCGAGTTTCCTCGCTACTACAGCGCACCTGCGTGCGGGTTTCCCCGCTAACTCGGGAGGCAGGGCCGTCCTGAGACGACCTGCCCGCCCTATACGGAGTATGTTTCTTCAGCTCGTGCTTGAAGGTTGCTGACCGGCCATTACCTGTAGGAGCAACGCGCGGTCAATACTACCTTTGGTATGACCATCGGCAGTCATATCCCGCGTGTCACACCATTGGACGTTTTCAACGATTCCGCGCTCCATCATCTGGCGGATCCAGCTGATGTGCCCAAGCAGAGTGCATTCTGTGGGCTTCTTCGGATCTTTGCTAGACAAAGACTTGAAGACAGACTCGGCATCAATAGTCATAGTGACTTTGATACATAGACCACCCAGTTCCAATATGTTCTTCAACTGTGTGGGGGTCAATGGTCCCGAGTGTAGCTCGTGGAGCGTTACAATGGTCGGGTAGCAGTCTTCCAAGTTGTGGGCTGCTGCCAGTGCTTCCGCAGAGTAGCTCGAACGCACCTGCAGTCGATGAGACTTGCAGTATGCGTCCACCAGGTGCACGACGGGTTTCCCCGCTTGCGTGTGGCCACGCCTCAGCAGGTTAGCCCCGTGGATACCGTAGCCTTTGACTTCGTCGTCTTCATCTCGATTGAGACGACGATAGCCAGAATCGCTATGCAGGTCGACCTCTCCTGTTGGAGTCATAGCTTGATACACGATCTTCTTCGGACCTGCCTGCAATTTCCTGGTAACCACGTTCAGTCGTCGTACCTGGATGTTTGTCGGTTCCTGGATACGCTGCAGTGAAACAACATAGACCATCAGCCATACCTGCGTGATCAACGCATAGGCTAGAGCGCCACGAAGACTGACGAACATATGAGAAATCGTCTTTGTCGATTTGCTCTCAGGATCAGCGCCTGTGAGCTCTGGATGTGTGATAGGACGAAGTTGTTTGATGTATTCGTCCTGATCAAGAGTGACGCTCCCATCATCGGTCTTGTTGTACCGAACGGCACAATTTGTGTATGTGTGCTTGTTCAGTTTGCACTTTCCAAACGTATTTTCAACACATTTGACGTACTTGTCAATGGAATCTTCCTTCCCAGTCATATTGATGTCATCAACGTGTTTGGCTGTCAAGAGGTTTGAACTCATCTCGAACTCTTCATCGTACGAAGTAGGCTGTCGTCCAAAGCTCCCGGTGATGGACCTGAGCTTCAGCGAGAACGCCCTGGGAGCATCCTTCGTGCCAGTCCCCGGCTTGAGGCACCGAAGACAATGCTTTGATTCGTCATATGACTCAAAGCCTGGCAATGTGCGAAGGACAGCTGCTGACCCAGGAGGTACTGTGAAGCACACCACACGCTCTTTCTCGCCAGTTGCCGCGGCGAGCTCGCCATAGGTCAGTCCCTTCAAGAAAGCCATGTTGATGTCCAGGGAAGCGATGATCCAAGCTTTGTTGCATGCAGCAGAACTTGCGAGCAATCTCTGGTTTGACCTCCTTGCCGTGCCAGAGAAGGTTTCGACATCGATGGCTTCAATGTCCATGAAGCCACGAAGTACCAAGCGTAACCTGATCGTCCGTTCCATTTCGCCCTTCTCGTTCTTGACAAACTTCCATTTGTATACATAGCGTGAAATCATGATGTTCGACGCTTTGCTCAAGTCAGTCATCTGGAAGCATTTGTTGTCAAGCCAAGTCTTCAATTCTGTGTAAAAGGCTTTGGAAACTTTGACCGGATTCGCTTGAATGTCGGCCTTCGTGAGTAGGTCGTTTTCTTTGACGACCACGGCACGTTTGGAGGCAACACTAACATATACTCGCATAGTTGTGACGCTGCTGTCATCCAACAATCGGTGTTGTTGCTCGGACAGGACGACTTTGGACATGTCTGCTGTGAAGCAAAGCTCGATGTACTTCCCGTGCTCGTCGGAGTCCAGATCATAGTGGCTGTCCGGATCAGTGGAGCACAAAGGGACGTAGTAAGAGGTGTCCATGTCGTATCCTGGCGGGTGACCCCGCACCGGCAAGTGGCCTTGCACATCTTCACAGGTCGTAGAGACCAACACGCACTGTGAGTCTGTCATGTATGTCGGAACTGTGTGCATGACTTCTTCTGTGTCAGCTTCAAGGAGTGTTCTGTCATCCATCAGTTCAGCATACCATGACTCCAAGACAAAGACATCCAGATCCTCTTCTGTTTCCTCTATGATGGTCGGGAGCCGACCATCATTCGCCGCAGGAGGCTGCTCAGGAGCAGCTGCTGGAGGTGGCTCGCTTGGTGGTGAACCATCAGCGAGTTCCTCAAACTTAGTGAGGTCTCGGTCGAATCCAGCAAGCGGCTTCTTGGATTTAAGACACTGGATGATGCGTGAATGTGTAGACCCTGTGATGTCGTAGATGTTCAAGGCAGTGCCATCAGCTTCATAATAATGAAGGCCAGGGGTCAGATCGTTATCATAGTGCACTAGTGTACAGCTGTCTGCATATGGTGCAGCAGGCAACTTAGTCAGGCTCTTAGCAAGTCGTACAGCAACCACGTTTTCAATGAGAAAATAGTTGCGAATGAGATATTGAAGAGCCAAGTGCACCTTAGGCGAAAACCGGCTCGCAGCAGTCATCTGCAGTCGGCCCTGTTTTGCTGGTAGGTATCCGAAAGTCATAGCGGGTTTCCCCGCTGGCAGACCGGCAATAAAGGCCAATACTGTCCGAAGGGCCGTATTGTCCGATCCTATCTCGCGGACCATCAGTGCTTCGATGTACAGCGTATGTCGTGAGTCAGGATACTGTACTCGCACTTCGCGATTGCCGACCTTCACGATGACCTGGCCTCGGTCAGGTTCGTTGCGGATGACCGGGTATGGACCACTCCATCCACCCCAGTCGTCTTTCGTGGTGGTCGGGCGATGATAGTCCACGAGATATCCCTCTTTGTAGTGAAATTCACCCGTAGCAGTAGCCTTCGTACGAAGAGCCCTGTTCGTCTTGGCAACCGCAGTGGCCTGCGTGATTGCCTCCAGACTAACCCTCCTGATTGTCTCTTCCTTTGAGTGATCTGATGATTCAGCGGACTGATCATGATCCAGGACAGGGAAATCGGGAAGCATAGCTGGCTGTCTGCCATACAGCGCATTATACGGAGACACTTCGTTGTAGAAGGTAAATGCGTTGCTGGCAAACAAGGCTTCATGTAAGAGACGAGTGAAATTCAGAGGGATGTTCAATATATTCAGTTCTTCTCCCATCACGTGTATGAGGTGTCGCAGGATGCCGTTCCTAGCTTCGATAGTCGTGGCGTGCTGGCCACGCGCTCGGATACGAAGCTCTGTTCC